TGAAGACGGACCAGGAGAGAAGAGCTCATTAGATAAGGGCATTGCACAGTGACAAGAGGAGAGGATATAAACCATGAGAAATATGATAAAGGATAGAAATAGAAATCTTTTAGTCCCGAAAAAAAAAAAAAAAAAAAAGCAAGATGGAGTGCATTAATGAGCTCTTTATGGGGAGGCAAGCAAAGGTGAGCAGCAAATGGCCATTTGCAGGCGGCTGAGCGGAGTATGAAAAAACAGATGTTGGTGGGATGTGAGAGGCCATCAGCACATGGAGGACCATCCGAGCCCCCGGTGTCATTAATGTTCCCATTGAATTATTAAACAGGCATACACAAACGCAGAGACTTGGCAGGCTCTTTTGATTGCTCTGGAAAGATAGAGAAATTCCAGAAGGAGGGAAACAGGCACTTACACCCCCCAGTCTTGGCCAAATCAAAGGGCAGCAAAACTAGTGTAAAACCTGGCATCTCCCACATGGTGAAAATCTGCATCCCTACTATTGTGTGCATACTCATCCCTTACATGGAGGAAACTGTGTCTAGAAGATTACCTTTCCTTCTGGATCAGATCATTTTACTTCATTAAATACTGGAGGGAAAAAAAAATAGGAATCAGCATACCCAGTGTTCCTGGATTTAAGAAAGGGGCAGCAGAGTGTCACAGAGAAAGAATTCGGAATTCCTGATAAAATTGCTAGCATGAGCAAACTATGAATTTGTGTTTCAAAGGGCTAAAGTGAGTTGGGATCAGCATCGGATTAAGAGACACTCTCTGCTGATTTCTAATGAGCTCGTGGAAGAGGTAATGTTGCCCTGCAAAACTCTGAAGGTGACATTGGAATGACCTGCACTGGCTTCTTGATGGTGCTGCTGATCCCTTAGCAGAGTGAGATGGAAAGTATGATACAAAGAGATGGGAAAAATCATAATGGAAGTAAATTCAGATAAAAGCTAAGTCACTGTTACAAGCCACAGAAAAGTCAGGTTGGCTTCTGCACCAGCTGGAGACACTCAGTGCTGATGTAGCTGTCCTAAACCCTTTGGAGTGCCAGTTGGCAGCAGGGATTTGGTGTTGAAGGAGGTGAAGGGGCTAATGTGCTGTTTTAAAGAACACTTTGATCACCAGATAAGATCTGGTGGAGGAACAGATTTGGGACCCACAATGGTAAGCCCGTGGTTTTACATGGGTGAGACATGGGTACGATGAGTGCTCAGAAATGTAAATAAATTCTGATTTGGGCTCCCAAACGCCCACTCTGCTGGCCGTGCAACATAGTGCACGTTGCTGTCAGTCCCCCTCATTGACCCATTGCTTTTGGGGATAGTGTGGCAGCTCAATACTGTGCCCAGCCCCTTCCTTGCCCAATGACTTGTGTGACCAGGCCAGAACCCTCCATTCCTCTGCCCCCCAGCCCCGCATGACTAGGAGAAGAAACACCACCTCCAACACCCATCAGCTGTGAATAAGGGGGTGCCCACCAGCTCCAGGGCTAGCAGGTCCCCTCTGAACATCCCTGTTGCTTTTGGGGTGGCAGCTGAAGTGTTCCCCACTTCAGCAAGGTTGGCTTGCGATGCCAACCTTGGAGCAGCCCCAGGTTTCCCTCCCTGGAGTTTACACTTTCCACAGGAAATACAGATTGGAAATACAGAGACAAATTCAGCTTGGGCATCAAGGCAAGTGATACCTTCGGGAATGCTGGCTGTGAAATGGTGTGTGTCTGTAGGGAGATATGTTTCTGTCCTAACTCATAGACTTAAAAATATAATGTATTTTTATATATTTATATAAAAATATAAATATTTATATGTTATAGTCATATAATATATTTCATATTTATTATATTAATATATAGCTATGGGCAGACAGGATACGCATATATGGGCTCTAGATGTGACGCGGACTTTGCAAGCCTTGGCAGCCTCCTTTGCAGACTCCGGCCTGGAGCAAATACTGAGCTGAGAGTCTCACTTGCTCTCCAACAAGAGTCTGCCCATGTTTGATGAGAGATGCTGGGAAAGTGATTAGAGGGTTTGGATTTCTTTTTTCTAGTCATAATTCTTGATTCTTCCCTTGTAGAATGGTGGTTTAGACACCAGCCGTTTTGCAACCCTGAGAAGTTCAGCAGAATCCCACTTACCTGTGGCCCCTGCCCAGTCCTACCCAGGGCAGGGAGGTTTCCAAGTAGTTGCACCAGGCTGGTGGGCAGGATGAGGGGCATGGACTGAGCTGGAAGGGGGTGACGGAGGGTGGTGCTGGGGGCACTGGTTAAAGGTCTAGGTGCGGGGAGAGGGCCCAAGGGGTGCAGTGGGTAGCTGCACGGATGAGGATTTGGGGAGCACAAGCACTAGGAAGCAGAGATGGAAGCGATTGTGTCTGCTCAGCGCTGTGCCCGGTCCCCGTGCAGGTCTCCTTGTGGCTCCCTGGCAGCTCCTCTCCAGGAGCCGATACCTCCTGGGAACAGGCAGGACGCCTCCCCGCTGGTGTCTCTCAGCGTGTTTTTCCCTGCATGGCTTAGGGCAGAAGTGGTGCTGGATCCCTCTGCTCCTTTTCTCTGTTTCATTGCCGCAGGGAAACAACTGCTTTCTCTGAACGTGGCTCCTGGAGCCGCGCGGCTCGCTGCCTCGCCGGCCTCAGGGGACACGGCCGCCTGTCCCGCACACCAGCACAGCTGCTCCTGCTTCCTCCAAGGGCTCACGCTATCTCCTTGTCTTTGCTTTTCATTCCCTCTCTCCCTTTCTTTTCCCTCCCTTTCTTTGCCTCCCTCTCTGCTCTCTTTGGATGCGCTTGGAGCTGTGGGCCGGTAGGATCAGCCTGGCCAGGTGCAATGCCTTTTGTCTTCAGAAAAGCAGGTTTGGCAACTGAGTAGGAGAACCAAACCAAGAGCTGTTGTCTGTTTGACCAAGAGCTGGTTTGACCAGAGAACACTCTGCATCGTGGTCATGGTTTGCTCATGCAAGGATTGAGCACCCGGAAACCTGTGGAGATCCCTATGGACAGGGGTGTGGAGCTACCTCTCCTGGGAGCCAAAAAGGACCAGGGCTTTGCTGCCCCTGCTCCTCCACGTCTGCGGGGATTTGTGTCTGGGAAGGGTTTGATTTTGAGAAACCACTGGTGCGGTGTCACATCTCCTGCGCTGGTCTCTGTTGGTCCCTGACTAGCAAAATCCTGCTGTTAAACCAGAACTGGGCTCTGATTTCATCCACCCCCGCTGTTCGACACCACTAACAACTTTGCGTGGCTCTCGTGGCTCTTATCATCGGAGCTAAATAGGCTTCACAAACAGGCAATTAATTAACGGAGCCTTCCCAACCAGCCTTCCCGCTCGGAGCCCGGGGAAAGGTTTTGCAGATGAGGAGGCAGAGGCAGCAACATGTCTTGCCTCAGGTGCAAAGATGAAGTCCCTGGTAGCAGCACCCCTCCCCTCATGGACAGACACAGGCCCTCAGGAACCCCCCGAGCCCAGATCAGCCCCTTTCGTGCTGCTGCCCATGGCTCTCCCAGCCCTGGACCCTGCCTCCAATGGCTCCTCTTCCTGCTGTGTCTCCAGGAGGCTGCACTGGGTACGTGGTTGCAGCTCCATGTTTGCTCCACTGTAGGTACCACAACTAAGATGCAGGAGCTGCACCATGGGGAGAACATGAGGCACTTGGAGGAGAAGAAACTCACCTTTACCTTATGAACAGTGAGGATTTTGGTGGGGAAATTGCCCACCTTTTCTTATGAAGCCCCGCTAATGCAGTCTGTAGTCTGCACAAATAGCCATGGGGAAGGAACGTGCACGCTGCCCGTCCTGCTCCGTGCCTGCCTGGCTCAGCTCCTCCTCGAGGAAACGTAACCTTTTGCAGGAATACCTGTCAAAATCATTTGAAATAATGACATAATGGGATGGGATGGGCCTTGTTCTGGGCCCTAGTGCTTGTAGTTAGGGCTAAAGATGTCCATGCAAAGAGACTGAGATGCAGCAGAAACACTTTTGGTAGTATCTAGGTGCCTGCAGGGTGAGCCAGGGCAACCTTTATTTTTGCATGATGTGCATGTGTAATTTGGAGCCTTACTCCTTCCTCACTGCTTTTTTTGCAGGGTTTTTTTTTTTTTTTTTTTTTTTTTTTTTTTTTTTTGCTTTCTCCCTTTTTGGCCTGTTCTTCACTACTCTGCTTCATGCCCGAAGCTGTTTTAGTAGGAGGTGGGCAGCAGCTCTGTGTAGTGCTGCAAAGATGTGTCCTGAAGGTTCCTTATACTCCTTGAGGACAATCCCGCCTCCCCAGTGTCCCCCGGGACAGGGATTTATTTGCATTTCCTATGGGAATGTGCTTTTTTTCTCAGTGCACTTGGAAGCAGCCAGGACTTGGATTCAGACAAGCAGTGGAAGTGACCAAACCCAACCCCATAGAAACCCACCACCCCACCAACCATCCCACCAACCAACAAACCTACAAAAGAAAAGTCCTTCAAACCAAGCTCCATCTCTTTCTCTAAAATCCATGATTAAAACCTGGTACAAACAGGTGAATATAGATATATATATATATAGATATAGATATATTTTTAGTAGATGTAGTATTGTTTTTTTTTTCTCCTCTCTCTCTCTCATTATACAGCAAACATTGCAAATATAGAAATTTTCTCTGTACAATGGATGACTTCAGTTTACAATGCAATGTGTCGTAAAACCTCTCGGTGAGTGAAAATGTGAACGAGCCTTCGACTGGGTAGAAGTCTAAACTGGAAGACTCCGTTTGCAAAAACAGCCCAAAGGATGGATCTCCTTCTGGTCTTTTTTTTTTTTTTTTTTTTTTTTGGTTTTTGTTGCTGTTTTTGTTGCTGTTGATTTTGGAAGGGAAGGAAGGAAGAACACAAACTGTTCACAAAGAATCCACAAAATCACGGAGTAGGGACTCATGCAATGCAGTACTGGGAAATGCCAGACCTCAGCTCTCTGCCTGCTCTTTCACTTACTTTTTATGCTCAATTTTTTCTTTATTTTTCTTTTTTTAAAAAAAAAAAAGGAAACAAAATTTCACTCCACAGTTTGATTTGTAAAGTCTTTGTGTTCACATTTGGTGTGTGTCTCACCAGCGTGAGGCCATTTTAATATTTCATTTTATATATTATATAGTATATTTATAGATTTTCATAATTTGTTCGCTCTTTTATTTGTTTCGATTCATTTATTTTTTTGTTTGCTTCAAAGACAATCTGAATAAAAATAGCTGCTGCAGATTTCTTTTGGTCCAGTTAGTGTGTTAAGTCACGAGTTGTTGTGAGGACTCAGGACTTTTGCTGGGCAGAGACGCCCTTCCAGTAGTCTAAGATGTCGTGAAGATCCTCGTCTTTGGCAAACTGGACCTTTTTTCGCAGGGCGTGGCCGGCTGCCATATACTCCTCCTCGTCTTTGTGCCGCTTGCGGTTGAGTTTGAAGCGCTCCCAGATGCTGTGCGATGGTTTGCAGGTGTACTCGGGGCTGGAGGTGTAGCTCAGGTTGTGATACTGAGGCGAGAGCTGGGAATAGGCCAGGTCTCTGGGGCGAGGACGGGTCAGAGGCTCCAGGATGGAGGGTTTTCGCCCTGCCATGCTGTCGTGCTGCTCCCCTTGATGTGAGCCGGGGTACGAGTGCCGGTGTTCGCTGTACTGCCGGATCTTCTCCGCCTCTGCCCGCAGGATAGCTGCAGCCGGGGTCACAGTGAGGATGGTATCGGTGGTGGGGGACGTCTTCTCGATGTATTTGGCTTCTGATTTGTGGCCTGATCCCTCGGAGCGGTAGGACCTGGGGCTCCGAATGGAGCCGCTGGAAGAGGTGCTGGAGCGTTTGGGGGCTGCCTCCATGCTGTGATGTCGCTGGAGTGGGTGGTTGTAGCTTTCCTTGTAGACGGGGGACAGGAATCCATGCTTGCTGGGGATCTGCTCTGACAAGAGCACCAGCTGAGGCTCTGCAGTGGAGACCGCCCCTGATTTCACCCCTTGGAAGGAGGTGGACTCAGATTTCAAGGCATCGATGCAGTTGTTGATGATCTGGTTCACCTTGTCCACCTCCTTGGCAATGGTGGAGATCTCAGCCACAGAGCTCTGGGTGTCCGGCAAGGAGAGCTCACAGTCTCGCCTCTCGGGCTGCTCGCCTGTCCTCACCTCCATGTAGTTGCCCTTGGTGGCCTTGGGGGTCTCACTGCTGTCGATCAACTTGTACTGTTCAACCTCTCCAGCAGAAGGCAGGTAGGGGATGCGGGTCACTGTCTCCCCACCCAGCATCTGTCCTTGGGACAGCTGGGTGATGCTGGTGGTCTCCATTTCCGGCCCATATTTCAGCTCAATGATGGTCTTCTTCATACTTCCAGGGGGCTTTTTGTGCTTCTCCTCCTGCTGGCGCCTCTTTCGGAGACAGTAATACACGACGCCTAGGACAATTACCATGCCAAAGAGACATCCCAGGATTGTCATGATATAATGAGTGGCAGTGGAAGGGGTGGGCACTGGCTCCTTGCGGTTGGGTCTGGTGGGCGTGATGGTGACACAGGTGTGGTTGTACTTGGAGTATTGGTGGACTGAGACCACACAGTAGGTGTAATCTCTTTGTGCTACTAGGTTGCTCACGGTAATGTTCTCCTCCTTCTTCCTGAGCTTGGTGATCATGGAGGAGAAGCCGTTTTCAAACTGGGAGAGGATGTACATCTTGCTGAAGGGGTAGGGGATCTGCACGGTGAGGACGGCTGAGTTGTGGTTGAGGTGCTTCACCTGGATGTTGGGGCGCACCTCCGTCTCACCAACGGGTGTGAAGAAGGAGAACTGTGGGGTCGTGCCGTCACCAGAGGAGCACTCCTCTTCGGAGCACGGGCTTTCAGAGGGCGCTGTGGTCACTTGGTACCTGGGAGGGATAAAACGAGGGATCACAGTGTAGGAGCCACCAGTGCACAGGGAAGAGAGCATGCTCAGAGCATTGCGATAGCCAGTCCGGCCCTGGCCTAACAAGTAGTAGCCAGTGTAGTCTGGTGGGGAGTCGCACTGCATCCGGTCATAAGTGCGTGTCATGTTGGTGAAAGCCTCCAGCCATTGCAGGAAGCCAAGGAGCTCACAGGAGCAGTAAAAGGGGTTGCTGTAGAGTTCACAGACAGAGAGCTTGTTTAGGCCCCGGAAAGTGTTGCTGTCGAGTCTCTGGATCCTGTTCATGGACAGGTCAATGTTCACTATGTTGGGGCACTCCCAGAAGGCATTGGGGGTGACAGACTCGATGAGGTTGGCCTGGAGATAGAGGTACTCCAGCTTCCCCAGGCCCCGGAGGATCCCTTCGGTGAGGTTCCTCAGGCGGTTGTAACCCAGCTGCAGCACCTGGAGGTTGAACTGTCCTGAAAAGGCACCGTCCTCAATGTAGGAGATCTCGTTCTTTGTCAGGTTGAGGTATGTCAGGTTGCCGAAGCGGCTGAGCGAGGCGTACTGCACGCTCTTGATCTTGTTGTCGTTCAGCCGCAAGTCCACGATGGTGCTGTTGATTTGCTGGGGGATGGACTCGTAGGGGGGCTGGTTTTGGCTGCAGATGGCCAGCCAGACGAAACCCTTGTCCCCCTCGATGAGCCAGCAGTCTGCCCGCACGCCGCCGGTGTGCAGGAGAGAGACGGCTGCCACGCACATGCACAGGGCTGACGTTGCGGCCCACCGGCGACCTGCCATCTGGAAGGGTGGCACACAGAAGGGCTTCCCTGGTCTGCTGGAAGTGGGGAGCAGGGTAGGGGGGTCAGGAGGATGTGGGTTAGTGTTTCTTCGGCAGCTTCGCTCTCCTCTCCCTTCTCCTCATGGCAGGGAAGTGTCTGTGGCAGAAGGGGACCTCGGTGGGCAGCCACGGGCCAGGCGCTCCTACCAAGGCCTGCGTGGCTGAGGGTGGTCCTGCATCACCAGGCCTGCGGCATCTTGCCGGGGAAGTCATGAAGTTAGGTGCTTGCGCTGAGGAGTCTCTCTGGCTCAGAGACAAGCCTTGCGCTCACTTTTTACAGGGCATCTCCGTTTTTTCTTTTCGCTGCCCATCGCGACACTGGGCTCCATCTCCATTTGCCACTGGACCTGGCTGTCCAAGCCACGTCACTTGGTTTACCTGCACAAAACAAGAGCACAGACTAAGTACCAAGGGGAGACGGTTAAAATTTAGTGGTATTAGAGACACTTTGGGGTGACAAGCTGTGCCCGCTACCCTCTAAAAGTTGAGGGATTTCTTTCTGAATCTGCCTTCAACCTTTCCAGGAGTCTTGGGTTAATCTGAGCACAGACACCCATGTTTGACAGCACCCTAGCTGGACACTGACTGTGGAGGCCATTTTGAGCACTTTGTCCAGGGTCATGTTATTGGCAGTTGTGAGAGTAATACACATGCAGGGCACAATTTGTCTGCCCTATTTAGGTGTCTACCTTAGGAGGGGAGGGTTGATGCCCCAGAAGTGTCTGTTCCTCTCTGCTGATGGCAAATGAAGCCCAGACAACTTGCTCTGATGTTGGTTTGATGCTGCAGAGTTTTGCTGAGAGAATCCTGTCTCATGCTGGTGTGCATGGCTATGGTGTCCACAGAAGTGGATGACGATAAGGACACCATGGAGGAGATTAAGGACTTTCAAACTGCATTGCTGCATTGCATCTGTGATAAAACCCAGCCCTATGTAAGGTCTGGGAACCTGGGTAGTAGTTTCAAGACGCTGGTTAATCACAAAACATGCAGACTCAGTTGTCCAACATCCAGTTTCCTTGTCTGTCATTAGTACATGCTTCCTGTCCCCAGAAAGCATCTCTCCTTTCTGGATATGCAGGAGCAGAGGCATGGAGGTCTGTGGAGGAAAGCACACACCAGACACCCCTCCAAGGGCAGGATTTGTAGTACATCCTTCTTGAGGCCTGTTCTGTCTGTGAGAGGTGTGCGGGTAAGATGTACTAGCTTGACTTCCTAAGGAGACAATGTGTCTGTGAGGGCCCTGCTTGCAGGTCTCTCTGCCTATTGAGTTTGTTCCCTTGCTTCAACTACATTTAGCAGAAAGCTCAGAGAAATCAGGTTTTTAAGAGTTTATGAGAAGTGGGAGTCTGGGTAGAGGAGATGATATTGAGGGCAAGGCAGATGAATCTCAGGGCTCATTCTTCCTCGAGGTAGAAAATCGGGCTTTGGCCTGTTTCTACACTGCTATTCCGACTTAAACGCTCATACCACCGCAGTGGTACTGGCAGTGATATTGTGAGTAAGGCTTATCTCTGGGACCAGTTACATGTTGCACTAGTAGGAGCACAATTGCAAGGATGTGTTGTCCTTCTGGTGGTACTCTTTGCAGATGAGCCAGCAGCCCGTGTGCAGCTGAGATTTGGAGGCAGCATAAAAGGGAAGAGGGAGCCTTGCTCCTGGGGGTGGCTGCCCCCTTGGTCCTTGCCCAGGATGGGGAGGCAGGGCTGAAGTGCTGGGCTGAGCGCTGTCTGCCGACACCTGCCTTCTGGCACTGGGCAAAGTAATTAACCTCTGCACTGCGATCTCCTCTCCACTACTATGAGATAATGATGTGACTTCCCAGGGGTGGGAGAGACTGAATCAAAGTGTCCCAAGCTCTCCTTGTTGTGGCTGAAAAGCCCAAATGTTTTGCACTACAGGTGGAGTTTGACCCCATCCTTTTATGAAGTGGGCTCTGGATTTTCCTGTTCTTCTGTGCCTCAGGAACCAGCCGGTCTATAGCTTCTCAAATTGTCCCATAGGCATGGAAGAAGAGTAAACTGGTAGTACTGGCCTGCAGAGCCATCATCTGTGGGTTGTCCCAGTTGTATCCTCAGCATGGCATGGAGGGTGCTCTCCTTGCCTGCTGTCCCCATAGACCTCTCCCTTGGTGCAAGCATCTCCTTGCTCTCCCTTTATGGGCTTGTGCATTGAGGAGGCCTCCTGCAAGCAGAGAGAGCCATGTCAAACTGAGACAACCCAGGCAGCAAGGAGTGATGCATTTTGGCACCTTCTCTTTTGTGGACCATCCCGTAAGCCAAGAGTAGAGACAGACCCTCCAGGGACTTTGCAAGGCTAATCCTCTTATCACCCACATGCCTCCTGGTCTAATTGGAGGAGTCTGGGGTGAGGAAGAGTGACTGTAAATGACTCAAAGATGTTCAATAAGGTTCCTGCTGTGTGTTTTCTCTGCTTTCTTGTATGCTGCCTATCAGACAAGTCCTTTCCAACAACAGAAAGGAGAATAGGCATTTTATCAGCAGCCTGAGTTTAATTTCAGCTCATTAAAGCAAGCAATTTGCTGGTTTATTTGCTTTGCAAAGTGTGAATAAAATGACAGCATTAAGGAGATGCAAGAGAGGAAAGAGGGGCTAATCTCCCTTTTTATTAGATTGCCAGGACATGACTGGGGAGCGGAGAAGTGGGTCTTGTTGCTTTGCACGGAAAAGATAATTGTTCATCTTGTTGGCTTCGGAAAGCCTCCTTCCCAGCATCACATCAACGCAAGCGCATGTGGGTGTGCGCTGCACTATCAACCAGGACTGAGCAGCCTGCAAGGCAGGATCAGAGCAAGGGCACTTGCACAGGCTACTGGCTAATATCCCCTTAACAATGGAAAATAGAGATTCAGAATTTTCTTTCCCTTTTCTACTTTCTACCTCCCCTCTAACCTGCCTTTTCTGTCTGTGTCTACTCTCAAATCTTGGGCTGGATTTTTGCAGCTTAGAAATAGAGCAGCTGGCTGAGGAGCCTTTTGCTCCCCGCAGTTTTCTGGTTTTGGGATGCCCTCTCTGCCAGAAAGGAGCAGCCCTTCTGCCTCTTTCCTGCCATGGTCAGAGCAGAGATTCTTCTTCTGCCTGGAGAAAATCCAATAAGAGAAACTAGAATTTTAACCAACTTGCCTAAATAAGTCCTCTTTGCCCAACTGTAGTGGTTTCATTCTTCCTGTATCCCAATTGCACAGTACTTTTCCAGTTCTCCAGCCTCCCACGGACCTTCCTAGGAAAACCTGGGAACAGGCCACCTACATCTCTAATGTGAAAAAACAGCCAGGAAAGTGGAGACTCTGGGTTCTTCTTCACTGATTTAGAAAGAAGCAAAAGAGAGGCATGAAACCAGTGTGAAATTACAGCAGTGATTTCACATGAGGGATTTAATCTCAACTGGAGGCATCTTGAACTCTGGCTCTGTGTTGCCAATGACAGTCCATGTTTGCAAGGATGCAGTAACCTCCATCCATCACTGACCCCCAGCTTGCAGGAAATACCCACCTTGCAAGAATTACCTATGCACTGTAGTTATTTCCCTTTCATTTTCCTTCACAGGGAAAGAGGAACCACAGGGATTTTGAGATGTTCCTGAGGCCACAGCCTGGACTGGTTGGACAGCATCAAATGCATCCTGGCCGAGACCCCAAAGCAGTGGGTGTCGAAACGAAAAGGCAAAGCCAAGGCTCCATAAACCAGTGCAGACTGGCTGTGAAGTTTTTGCTTCCACCTCCCAACTAATGGCATCTCCGTAAATTAAACCAGAGCAGCAGCTGCAAGGAAGGAAACAAAGCGCCCGGAGAGGCTGGGGTAGTAAAGCGAGCCAGGCAGCACATATAATAATGCTATCCTGGCACTCAATCCCTCATTTTGTTATTCTACTGAACGAGTTATTTCAAAATGTGGATTAGATTTACTGAGTGAAGGCAAGGAGCCAGATTAACGTGTGTGTGTGTGTGTGTGTTCTGCATAGACACACATACACCCAACAGGGCTCCTCTCCTCGGTGTTTCTGTAGCTCCATACTTTGTTCTCCCTAGTTGCTCCATCTCCATCTGGCCACGTTTCCACTTCTCTTAGATCTTCTTTCATAGCTGCCCGGGTCATTTTATCAATAAGAGAAGGAGCCCCAGTACACAGAGAGGCACCCAGTGAAACAGGAGGGATACATTACAAATGATAAATGTTTAATCACCCAAAGAGTTGGGGAAGGAAAATTTGGCTAACAGGCAACAAATGTTAAAATGAACCTTGGCTCTTCATTATGTGTAAAATAATGTGAGGAGACAGCTCTAAGATGGCAGAGAAAACATTCATTAGTGATGAAGTTTCCCCTAAATGGCTTAACGTCCATTCCGTATATGTCAGGTGCGGAAAGAAGGCTTCCAGGCAGGTTTTCCTGCTCATTCATATTCCTGGCATTCATTACATGCCTCCTGCCGGGTGATATTGGTTAGCATCCTTACCATGCTGAATAATAAAGATGCCCAGGCCCATAAAATTCAAGTTCTTTTTCCATCCAGACACCCCAGCACTAATAGTCCTTCCACAGATAGGGCTTAGAGAGCATTTTGCACATGCCAACCTTATCCCCAAGTGCTTTGCAGTGCTAGATAATACAGGTCTCCAGTCAGCTCCCCTCTCTCTCTTGCTATTATTCCTTATTTAAGAAAAATATGTAAGGGAGAAGAGATAAGTTTTCCATTGTGGTTTGCAAAGAAATGAAGAGGGAATTAATCGGAGAGGTGAAGAGGGGCTGAGAAGAAAGGGCCTGGCATCACATGCAGGGTAGATTTTATGGAGATCTGGGAGGACACAGACCAGATAAAGGTGTCAAGTAGCCAAGGATGGGGAAGGGATCGGTTTTCTTGGGTAGCTTTGGAGAAATCAGCATAAATCACATGCTTGGCCTCTATACAGATACAAGGGAGATTGACAGACGGAGTCATGCTCTTGAGTACTATGCAGCCGAAGACCAATGTTTTCCTCTTCAGATTGTTCCTATCAAGGGATATCTTGGGATATCAAGGGATATCTGACCTGCAACTTGTCAAGCTTGGAAGTTTTCCACCAGAATGTTTAATTTCAGACCAGATTATCAGTATGCTGCAGGTGCCATGGTGTCTAATAGCCACAGGTCAAAGGTCTCCATCTTCATCCACTGACCAGACTGAGGCCAATATTGCAATTTGAGAATGTGCAAAATTAACCTGCCTGCATGACTGTTTTGGGAACCTTTTTGTTCTTTGAAAAAATAAATTCTGAGTTAAAATGACAAGATTTTCAAGACAGGTCAGCTCTTGGGATTTCAGCAAATACAGATATCCTGCTTTTCACTCAGCTGCAGTCTGAAGTCATTTACATCTACCT